AGATTGTCTCCTGCTAATCTGTCTTATGTCAGTGTAATTCTTTGAGTAGTCAAAAGAACTTTAAAGGGTAGTTGGGGCGCCTGGGTGGCGCAGTCGGTTGAGCGTCCGACTTCAGCCAGGTCACGATCTCGCGGTCCGTGAGTTCGAGCCCCGCGTCAGGCTCTGGGCTGGTGGCTCAGAGCCTGGAGCCTGTTTCCGATTCTGTGTTTCCCTCTCTCTCTGCCCCTCCCCCGTTCATGCTCTGTCTCTCTCTGTCCGAAAAATAAATAAATGTTGAAAAAAAAAAATTAAAAAAAAAAAAAAAGAACTTTAAAGGGTAGAGAAAAAAATTTCTTCTCCAACATACTCTTCCCAAGTGCCTGAGTCTGTGCTAGGAATATGAAGACAAGAAAAAGATCTTGTACTTGAGACACTTACTTCCAGTAGAGGAAGAGAGATCAGTAAGCAAATAAAATGAATAATGTATTCTTCACTTTCCACCAAAATACTCCTAATGGCACAGGAGGGAAAACCCACGTCTCCCTGGAGTTTGGGGCATAGCCTACATTACAAAATTAATTTCTTTGGGGCACCTGGGTGGCTTAGTCAGTGAAGCATCCGACTTTGGCTCAGGTCATGATGCCGTGGTTCGTGGGTTCGAGCCCCGTGTTGGGCTCTGTGCTGACAGCTCAGAGCCTGGAACCTGCTTTGGATTCTGGGCCTCCCTCTTTCTCTGCCCCTCTCCCGTTTGTGTTCTCTCTCTCTCTCTCTCTCTCTCTCTCTCTCTCTCTCAAATATAACATTAAAAAAAAGAAATTAATTTCTTTGACTTTTATCTTTTTAGAAAAGTTTGTATCTAAATTCCAATTAAAATGCAGTGTCATATTAGTTTCAGATGGGCAATATAGTGATTCAACACTTTCACACACCATCCAGGGCTCATCACATGCACAAGTGCATTCCTTAATCCCCATCACCCATTTAATCCACATCTCCCCCCACCTCCCTTCTTATAACAATTAGTTTGTTCTCTATAGTTAAGTATCTGTTTCTTGGTTTGTGTCTCTCTCTCTCTTGAATTTTATCTTTTTAAAAAATGTTTATTGGGGCACCTGGGTGGCTCAGTCGGTTAAGCATCCGACTTGGGTTCAGGTCATGATCTCGTCGTTTGCGAGTTCGAGCCTGGAGTCAGGCTCTGTGTTGAGAAGTCAGAGCCTGGAGTCAGGCTCTGTGTTGAGAAGTCAGAGCCTGGAGCCTGGAGCCTGTTTCAGATTCTGTGTCTCCCTCTCTCTCTGCCCCTTCCCCACCTGCACTCTGTCTTTTTCTCAAAAATAAATAAACAATTAAAAAAATTTTTTTAAATGTTTATTTATTTTTGAGAGAGAGAGAGAGTGCAAGCAGGGGAGGGTCAGAGAGAGAGGAGGGGGGACAGAGGATCCAAAGAAGGCTCTGTTCTGACAGCAGCAAACACAATGCTCGCTCAAACCCACAAAATGTGAGATCATCACCTGAGCTGAAGTCAGATGTGCAACTGACTGAACCACCCAGGTCCCCTTGAATTTTGTCTTTTAAAAGCTTTGCAAATTTTGCATTCCACACCACAATATAGCCCCATTTATTTTGCTGTTACTTTTTTTTTTTAATTTTTTTTCAACGTTTTTTATTTATTTTTGGGACAGAGAGAGACAGAGCATGAACGGGGGAGGGGCAGAGAGAGAGGGAGACACAGAATCGGAAACAGGCTCCAGGCTCCGAGCCATCAGCCCAGAGCCTGATGCAGGGCTCGAACTCACGGACCGCGAGATCGTGACCTGGCTGATGTTGGACGCTTAACCGACTGCACCACCCAGGCGCCCCAACTTTTTTTTTTTTAAATACATCATCCTAACAAGTGGGGTTTATTCTGGAAATACGTGGCTGATTCAATATTTGAATATCAGTGTAATACATCATATTAATAGTTTTTTGTTAACATTTATTTATTATTGAGAGACAGAGAGAGACAGAACACGAGCATGGGAGGGGCAGAATGAGAGGGAGACACAGAATCCGAAGCAGGCTCCAGGCTCTGAGCTGTCAGCACAGAGCCCGACGTGGAGCCCGAACTCACAAACCATGAGATCATGACCTGAGCTGAAGTCGGAGGCTTAATGGACTGATCCACCCAGGCGCTCCTCATATTAATAGTTTTAATAAGAAACACTGCCAAGGGGTGCCTGGGTGGCTCAGTGGGTTAAGCATCTGACTCTTGATTTCCACTCAGGTCATGTTATCATAGTTCATTGGATCCAGCCCTGAGTCAGGCTCTGTGCTGACAGTGCAGGGCCTGCTTGGGATTCTCTCTCCCTCTGTCTCTGCCCCTCACCTGCTTGTTCTCTCTCTCTCTCTCTCAAAATAAAATAAACTTAAAAATAAAAGAAACACTGCCCCCCAAATTGGGTAAAATTCAGTATCCAGTCGTGGTAAAAACTCTCAGCAAACTAGGAAAGAGAAAGGAACTTTCTTAACCCGATAAAGGACAAGTATAAAAAGCCTATTGCTGATGTCACACTTCATGGTTAAAGACTGAATGCTTTCTCCTTAAGATGGCAAACAGGGTAACGATGTCTCCTCTCACTTATACTCCATATCCTATTGGAAATCCTATTTCCTATTTCCTTGGTGCGACAAGGCAAGAAAAAAAAAAGGCATATACGAATTGTCAAGGAAGAAATAAAACTGTCCCTATTTATAGGTGGCAGTCAGGCCCCACTCTGCAAGAGTTCTTCAAACTGGGGGACGGGGAGCCTTGGCGTTGGGCAAAGCCAGGCCTCCCTAGTGATCAGCTTGCTCAAGACTGCCCAGGGGCTTGTGCATTTGGGGGGCGGGGTGGGGGACAAGAAGACGACTCCTAGAGCGCGGGGCAGCACAGAGAATCCACCGGAGTGAACCGCCTCCATTTCAGGCCCAGCAGGTGGGTGGAGCTGGTGACAGTCACACACTGGGGACACCAGGAGGGGCTGTATCTTGTAGCTGAGAACGGGGAAGTAACCTTCGGTGACGCTCCACTTCTTAACAGACACGGCCCCGGCCGGGAGCCTTAATGGAAGGCCTCAATGCCACGGTTGGAGTTGTACGTGAAGAAGGTGATGGTGGGAAAAAAGGATCGCGAACACGCTCACCGCGGCTCTTTGCTGCTTATCCGTCTCTGGCGCCTGCGGAGGGGCGGGGGGCCGGCGGCCCGTAGGTGACCTGGGTGGCACACCCGCCCCGGGGAGCGCCGTCGCGCCCACGGTCCCCTCGCTCGCCGAGCCGCCCACGGCTCGCTCAGCAGGGCGCCCAGTCCCGCAGCCATCCCGGCTCCGCAGGGCCCTAGGGCAGCCGCCAGTCTCCCGCGCCCAGGCCTCCGAGGCCGGCCGGGCCTCCCATTTACGCGAACACGTACACTTGTCATCCAAGGCTGATCAGAGAGGGACGGTAACGCAGCGGTGAACGTAAGCTTTGGATTCAAGCTCTGGTGACTTCTAACCGTGCCCGCCCTACCGCTCCCTACCTTCCCTTTCCCGTTCCTCTGCACAAACGGGGTCCTCTTCCAGATGGCCTTATCCTGTTCTCCACATCTTTGCAAGGGCTTCTCCGGCCCGCGTGCTCAAGTCCGGTCTTTCCACTCTCCCAACGCCCCGAATTCTGATCCTTGGTACATTTTCTCCGTCAACCGTCCCTGCCTCCCTGGTCCAGGAGTTAACTCGCCAAATTCTACATGCCTCTGCTAACGGCCAGCTTGCTGCCTTTGTTCTACCTCCAATAGTCGCCTGCCGATCGGCAGAGGACAGACCTCTCCCAAGCGAGGGAAGCGGGACAGAATGGCGAGGCGCACTCGTCTCTGCATAAACAAGTGACCTCTTGTTCTCCGAAGCTCTTGAGAGACAAGGAGGAAAAAAAGGATCGGCTCCTCTACTGTCCTGGGATGTTGTCCAACAGAAATAGAATGCGAGTGAACCCACACTAGGGTCCAACCACTATGCTGTGCACCTGAAATTAATATAACATTTTGTCAACCATACTTCAATACAAAATTTAGGATACGCCCGGCTGACATTCTCTAGGATGTGATTATTGTGGTTTTCTTTCTTCAAGTGATTTTTACCTTGAGGTGTTTCAGATGATCAAGGAATCATAATATAATAAACGTACTCTGCTTAAGTCATGCTTGTGAAACAAAAGTTGTATCTCCCGGGTAGAAATGATGGCACAACCTATTTCACATTGAGTGACACATGCATCATCGGAGACAACATAAAAATATTAAACAGCTTAACTGGCTAGTTTGTATCACTGAATGGCTTTTTGGGGTCTGCTGTATTTTTTTTTTTTTTTTGCGGCATTTATGTTAAAATTGCTTTAACAAAAAAATACGACGCGAGCCACGTCGCTGTAAATATTCTATGTTCTAGCAGCCACACTTTATTTTTAAAAAAATGTCTTATTTAACGCAATAGACCCTAAATATTGTCATTTCGACCTGCAATCAATATACGAATGCAGAGGTTTGCACTCCTTTTTCCAGGCAGTCTCTGATATTGGGTGCGCATTTGACACTTATGGAACATCCATTTCGGACTGGCTGCATTTCTAGCGCCTAATACCCATCATCCTGTACGGTCTGGCCCCGGAATTCCCCCCCTTTCCCTCTTTTTGTCCCCCCCCCCCCCCACCTCGCAGGAAGAAGTGAAGATGATGGGGGGCGGTAACACTGCTACTTTGGGGCCGAGGCAAACTCGGGGAGGACGCAAGACCCTGTGATGTGACGTCGAGATGCTGAGAGACCTCTCCGCCAGACTTCCCTGTCCCCCTCCCCCGCACCGCGAGACAGCACCAAAGGCAGCTCTCGAGGTACAGCCAACCGCTGGAAAGTGCCGGGCTGCGGGTGGGGGGATGGGGGAATGGAGGACGCGGCGGGGAGGGGGTGGAAGGCGCAGCGCGGACCCGCACGCATGCGTATTGAACGCGCTCGCAAACACTGCCTGGCGCCCTAGCAACGGGTTCCAAGCCACTGTCTCGCCGTAATAAGTGGCCTTCCCAGGAGTTCTCGTCCAACCAGCCGGTCTAGGCTCCTCCCGGTCCACGGTTCTTCCTTATCATTCCCGCTTCTCCCCTTCCACTGGTTCAATCTCGCCTTCTGGTGTGTGTGCCCGAGCCCCGAGGCGGTTCCTAAAATGAGTACTCGTTTCCGCCTGGGAACCAACCCCTGGCGCCTCAGGCTCGCCCGGCCCGGGCTGAGGTGGCTGCTGGGGCTGGGGCTGTTCCTGGGGCTTCAGGCTTCCCGCAGCGCAGCTTTCTACCTCCCCGGGTTGGCTCCAGTTAACTTCTGCGAGGCATCCCGAGAGACTGCAACCTGCAAGGTGAGGACCCCTGGGAGGCAGTGAGATGTGAGGGGAAGGCTTTGGGTTGGGGTATCGGGCACACCAGGGGAGACCATGGTCGTGAGCTCTTGGACTCGGACCCGGAACGCCAAAGCCCTGTCCATAGATGTGTCTCAACGTCCCAGTCTCTGAGCCTCGCACTTGGGAGTATCTGGACCTTTCTTTTTCCCGGATTCTATTTCCCTCCCTTTTGGCTGCTGCCCCGTGCTGTGCCTTCGTCCAACTCCCGCTCAGCTCCTTCTCCCTCACAGCTCCTCCTTTCCCCCCTTTCCCTCAGCTCCCTCCCTTTTATCTCAGCTTTCCTCTTCTCTTCACTCTGGGCTCTGCTCCTCCCTTCCCACCTTCCCTGATAGCCTCCCTGTCCATCCAGGCCCTGCCCTTCCCCTTTCTCTCTCCTGTAGGCCCCGCCCCTCCGCTTATCTCCCCACTCTAGGCCCCGCTCAACCACCCAGGCCCCGTCCCGCCCCTTTCCTCTCCCTTCTAGGCCCTGCCCCTCCGCCTTCTTCTCCCCTCAAGGCCCTGCCTCTCGCCCTTATTCTACCATCTAGACCCCGCCCTTCCGACAAGGCCCCGCCCCTACACCGAGACTCGGTCCCTCGACTTTTATCTCTTGTCTAGGCACCATCCCTCCCCTTTCCTCTCGCCTCTATGACCCTCCACTCTGCATGCCTCTCCCTTCTAGGCCCTCCCCACCCCATTCCTCTCACTTTAATGCCCCACCCCTCCCCTTTCCTCTCCCCTTTGTGCTCCGCCCCTCCTATTTCCTCTCCCATCTAGGCCCCGCCCTTCCACGCAGGCCCGGCCCCTCCGCTTTCCTCTTGCCTCTAGGCCCCGCCCCTTCAGCCACGCCCCCCTCCCACCCACTTTTTTTCTCCCCTCTAGGGTCGCCCCTCCCCTTTCCCTTCTCCTCTAGGCCCCTCCATTTCATGCAGTCCCCGCCCCTCCGCATTCCTCACCCCTCTAGGCCCCGCCCCTGCAACCAGGCTCCACCCATTATCTTTCTTCTCCACTCTTGGCCACGCCCTTCAATCAGGCCACGCCCCCACTCTATTGGCCACGCCCCCCACCCGCCCCCCCCCTCCAGTTTTTTCTCCCCTCTAGGACTGGCCCCTCAACTTTCCTCTCCCTTCAGTGTTCCCGTCCTCTCCCCAGGCCCTTCCCCTCCCCTCCCTTCCCCTCCTCTCCCCTCTCAAGGCCCAGGCCCTCCACGTTCCTCTCCACTCTGGGCTCTGTCCTTCCACTAACGCCCCGTCCCTCCACCCAGGCCAGCCTGTCCACTTTCATCTACCCTCTAAGCCCTAGCCCTCTTTTCTCTTCCCTCTAGGCCCGCCTCTCCAACCAGGCCCCGCCCTTCCACTTTCCTCTCCACTCTAGGCCCCTCCACTCCCTGGTCTTGTCTTCTCTAGGCCCTGCCCCTCCACACTGGCCCCACATTTCCCCTCCCCTCTAGGCCCCGCCCTTCCACCCAGGCCCCACCCCTCCACGTTCCTCTACTCTCTAGTCCCCGTCCCTCCAACCACACCCTGCCCGTCCAGTTTTTTCTCCCCTCTAGGACTCGCCCCTCAACTTTCTTCTCCCCTCAGTGTTCCCATCCTCCAGCCCCCTCCCCTCCCCTTTCCTCTCCTCTCTAGGCCCAGGCCCTCCACTTTCCTCTCCACTCTGGGCCACGCCCTTCCACTATGACCCCGCCCCTTCACCCAGACCTACCTGGCCACTTTCATCTACCCTCTAGGTCCTGACCCTCTTTTCTCTCCCCTTAGGACCAGCCCCTCCTCTTCTACTCTCTAGGCTCTGGCCCTCCACTTTCCTCACCCCTCTAGGCCCCGCCTCTCCACCCAGGCCCTCCCCTCCCTTCTATGCCCCACCCCTCTCATTTCCTCTCAAGATTCCCAGCCTCCACCCAGGCCCCTCCCCTCCCCTTTCCTCTCCTGTCTAGGGCCTGGCCCTCCACTTGCCTCTCCACTCTAGGCTCCACCCCTCTCCCCTCTAGGCCCGTCCCTCCAGCCAGGCCGAGTCCATCGACTTTCTTCTCCCTTCTAGGCCCCACCCTTCCACATCACTCTCCCCTCTAGTACCTGCCCCTAGAACCGCGACCTGTCTGTCCACTTTTTTCTACCCTCTAGGACCGTCCCTCAACTTTCCTCTCTCCTCCCAGGAGCCTCCCCCCGCCTCTCCTCTCTTGTCTAGGCCCTGGCCCTCCACTTTCCTCTCAACTCTAGGCCCTGTCCCTCCCCTTTCCTGTCCCCTGTAGGCCCCTCCACTCCCCTTTTCTCTCGATCTAGGCCCCGCCCTTCCATGGTCCTCTCCCCTCTTGGCCACGCCCCTCCAACCAGACCTCGCCCAACCATTCTGCTCCCCTCTAGGCCCCGCCCTTCCACCCAGGCCCCACCCCTCCACCTTCCTCTCCCCTCTAGGCTCCGCCCTTCCAACCATGCCCTACCCATCCAGTTGTTTCTCTCCTGTAGGACCAGCTTTTCAACTTTCCTGTCTATGTCCCCATTTTCCACCCAGGCCCCTCACCTCCTCTTTCCTCTTCCCTCTAGGCCCCACCCCTCCCCTTTCCTCTCTCCTCTAGACCCAACCTCTCCCCTTTCCTTTCCTTTAGGCCCCTCCTCTTCCTTTTCCTCTCTTCTCTAGGCCCTGCCCTTCCACGGAGAACTGTTCCTCCAAGTTCCTCTCCCCTCTCCCTCCCTCTATGTCCCGCCCGCCCCTCCCCTCCCCTTATCTTTCCCCTATGGCCCTGCCTCTCCACCCAGGCCCCTCTCCTCCCCTTTCCCCTTCCCTCTAAGCCCTACCCCTCCCCTTTTCTCTCTCCTCTGTGCCCAGGCCCTCTCCTTTTCTCTCCCCTCTAGGCCCTTCCACTCCCAGGTCTTGTCCCCTCTAGGCCCCGCCCCTCCACACTGGCCTCTCCCTTCCCCTTTCCCCTCCTATCTAGGCCCTGCCCTTCCACTCAGTCCCCATCCCTCCGGGTTCCTCACCCCTCTAAGCCCTGCCCCTCCAGCCAGGCCCTGCCCATCCACTTTCTTCTCCCCTCTAGGCCCCGCCCCGCGTTCCTATTCCTTGTAAGACCTGCCCCTCCAACCATCCCCCATCCTCCCCTCTAGGACCCGCCCCTCAACTCTCCTCTCCCCTATCTACATCCTCCACCTAGGCCCCTCCCCTCCTCTTTCCTCTCCTCTCTAGGACCCGGCCCTCCACTTTCCTACCACTCTAGGCCCCGCCCTCCCCTTTCCTCTCCCCTGTAGGCTCCTCCAGTCCCCTTTCCTCTCCCTTGTAGGCCCCGCCCTCTGCTTTGGTCTCCTCTCTAGGCCCTTCCACTCCCCTTTCCTCTCCCCTCTAAGCCCCGACCTTCCATGCAGGCCCCACCCCTCCGCGTTCCTCACTTCTCTAGGCCCCGCCCCTTCAACCAGGCCCCGCCTGACCACTTTCTTGTCCCCTCTAGACCCCGCCCCTCAGCTTTCCTCTCTCCCCCTTATGTCCCCATCCTCCACCCAGTCCCCTCCTCTTCCCTTTCCTGTCCTCTGTAGGCCCTGGCCCTCCACTTTCCTCTGCAATCTGGGCCCCACCGTTCCACCAGGGCCATGCCCCTCCACCCGGGCAACTTTCCTCTTCCCTCAAGACCCTGCTTTTCCCCCCGGCCCCGCCCCTCCCCTTTCCTCTCTTCCCTTGGATTCACCCCTCACCTTTATTCTACCCTCTAGTCCATGCTCCTCGCCTTTCCTCTCCCTTCTAAGAGTCGACCCTCTCCTTTATTCTACCCTGTAGGCCCCGCCTTTCCCCTTTTTTCTACCCTCCAGGCCCCTCCCTTCTACCCAGGCCCCGCCCCTCCATGTTCCTCTCCCCTCTAGGCTTGGCCCCTCCACTCAGGCACCTCCCCTCCCAATTCCTACCTCTCTGTGCTCCCCCCCTCCCCTATAGACCCTGCCACTCCATCCAGGCCCCATCCCCTCCCTTCTCCCTCTAGGCCCCAATGCTCCCTTCCCACCGCTCCCGTCTGGGTCCCACGCCTCCCACCTAACTCCACCCCACCCTCTTTCTCTTCCCTCTTGGCTGGCTGTCTTCTCTTAGTTCCTCTGCTTCCTCCTTTCTAGGCTACTTCTCCACTGCCCTTCTGGGCTCCTCCTGGGCCTCCTCCCTCTCCCCCCTCCCTATTGGCTGCTCCTCCTCCTCTGTCGGGCTCCTCTGCTTTCCCCCTCCATGGCTCCTCCCTCTTCCTGCCCCTCTCCCTCTCCCTATTCCTTTTCCCTATCCCTGAGCTCAGTGGGTGGCTCAGATCTCTTGCAGGTTTTTGGGTTCAAGTCCTGCCTGGGGCTCTGTGGTGACGGCTCAGGGCCTGGAGCCTGCTTCAGATTCTGTCTCTCTCTCTCTCTCTGCCCCTCCCCTACCCAGGATCTGCCTCTCTCTCTCTCTCTCTCTCTCTCTCTCTCTCTCAAAAATAAATAAACATTAGAAAGGGACTTATTTTTCTGACTCCTAGTTGCCTGATCTAGTGTATGAGGGAGTGTTCTGGCATACCACAAGGGCACTGGGAAGCTCAGAACAGTGCTGGGTGTGGTTTGACTACATTCTTAACCAACTTGAAAGTTCCAGGGATTTTCTAAAGGCCAGTTGTAGGTGCAACAAGTTTGCTCTTAAAACTTGGAATTTGCCTTTTCCTTCGAGAAGTATTGATAGTAATTTCCTACAGAAATGGCCTTTAGGGGCACCTGGGTGGCTCAGTGGGTTAAGCGTCCGACTCTTGATTTCGGTTCAGGTCATGATCTCACAGTGCATGAGTTCAAGCCCCACATCGGGCTCTGCGCTGACCGTGCAGAGCCTGCTTGGAATTCGCTCTCTCCCCCCTCTCTCTGCCCCTACCACGCTTGCTCCCTCTCTCTCTCTCTCAAAATAAACTTAAAAAAAAAAAAAAGAAATGGCCTTTAAAAAATATTTTTATGTCTGCTTTCTCTCTGGTGATACCTCATCTTGGCTCTCTATTTCAGCAGGCTTCCTAGCAAAGAAACATCTTTAATCATAACAAATATCTGGAGTTTCTTTTCTGTGAGCTCGTTTCTTTTTAGGCTGTTACTTGTATCCCTAATGTGTTCTACTTTTTATTCTGAGATTTTGCCTTCTGTCTTTTGGTGAATCTCTCATTTCTAGGTTCAACACTCCAAACTTCCTTCACTTGCTAGTGTCCAGCCCCTTGATTTTTTTTAATTTTTTAAAATTTTTATTTATTTTTGAGAGAGAGAGAGAGAGAGAGAGAGAGCCAGCATGAGCAGGGGAGGGGCAGAGGAGAAGCGAGACAGGGGAAGGGGAGACCCATGAACTGCGAAATCATGACTTGAGCCAAAGTCAGCCGCGTAACCAACAGCTACCCAGGTGCCCCAAGCCCCTTGATTTTTTAAAAAAAGTTTATTTGTTTATTTTGAGACACACACACACACACACACACACACACACACACACACTCACATGAGAGCTGGGGAGAGGCAGAGAGAGAGGACGAGAGAGACATTTCCAAGCAGGTTCTGTGCTTTCAGTGTGGAGCCTGACGTGGGGCTCGAACTCACGAACCATGAGATTGTGACTTGAGTCAATACCAAGAGCCTGATGCTTAATGAACTGAGCCAGCCAGGTGCCTGTTGATTTTTTTTTTTTAGTTTAAAAATTTTTACTAATACAAAAGCAATAGCAGACAAGCAAAAATAAGAAAAGAAAAGCATTGATAATAACAATAGATTTACTACTTCTGATATCTTAGTATGTATTCCAGGGGCGTCTGCCTGGCTCAGTTGGAAGAGTTCATGACTCTTGATCTTAGGGTCATGAGTTTGAACCCCACATTGGGTGTAGAGATTACTTAAAAAAAATAAAACCTTGAAAACCACATATATTGTACATTTTTTTCTATATATACTAATATCCACATTTGTATATTTAAAAATTTTTTCATGTTTATTTATTTTTGAGAGAGAGAGACAGAATGCCAGCAGGGGAGGGGCAGGGAGAAAGGGAGACAAGATCTGAAGCAGGCTGCAGACTCCGAGCTGGCAGCACAGAGCCCAATGCGGGGCTCGAACTCACAAATCATGACATCGTGACCTGAGGTGAAGTCACTCCACAGACTGAGCCACCCAGGCCCCCTGCCACATGTTTATTTTTAGCAATATGCATTTGGTGTTCCTTTGTGCCTTTCCATGCCTTAATAGCTCATTTCTTTTCAGTTTTGAATAATATCCCACTGTCTGAACGTACCACAGTTCGTTTATATATTCACCTACTAAAGGACCTCCTGGTTACTTCCATGTTTTGGCAATGATGAATAAAGCCGCTCTAGACATCGTGTAGGTTTTTGTGTGGACGTAAGTTTTCAGCTCCTCTGGGCAAATACCAAAGAGTATCATTGCTGGATTGCACGCTAAGGATATGTTTAGTTTGTAAGAAATTGCCAGGCTGTCTTCCAAAGCGGTTGTACCATTTTGCATTCCCACTAGCAATGAATGAGAGTCCACCTGCATTGTTTACCAACATCGAATCAGAATATCCATGTTATTTTGTAACCCGCACTTTTGTATTAACTCCATCTTTCCATATGAACACATTTTTAGGGGCACCTGGTGGCTCAGTCGGTTAAGCGTCTGACTCTTGGTTTCGGCTTAGGTCACGACCTCACAACTCGTGAGTTTGAGCCCCGCCTAGGGCTCTGTGCTGACAGTGAGGAGCCTGCCTGGGATTCTCTCCCTCTCCCTCTCTCTCTCTGCCACTCCCCCGCTCATGCACAAGAGCGTGCGCGCTCTCTCTCTCTCTCTCTCAACAAATAAACATTTAAAAAAATAAAAAACTGGGGCGCCTGGGTGGCTCAGTCAGTTAAGCGTCCGGCTTCAGCTCAGGTCATGATCTCACAGTTTGTGGGTTCAAGCCCCGCAAACTGTTTGTCAAACTGTTCCTGTTTGTCAGTTGCCTCTTGGTTTTGCTTCTTGTGTTTTGTTTTTGTTTCTGTTTTTTGCCATTTCGAAAAATTGACTTCTAATTTATCAAAGGAAATTTTTAGGGGGGCTCAGTTAAGCAGCCGACTTCAGCTCAGGTCATGATTGCATGGTCCCTGGGTTAAAGCCCTACATCTGTACTGTCAGTGTAGAACCTGCCTGGGTTCTCTCCCTCTCTCTGCCCCTCCCTGACTCATGCTGTCTCTCAAAATAAATAAATAAATAAAACAATTTTTTTGGGTCTGAGTTTTGTGCCCTGTTTCAAAAGGTTTTAACTAAGCCAGCTGAGATTCTAAAGTAATTCTCCCCTGGTTTCTTTTATTACTTTCACGGTTTATTTATTTATTTTTTTAAAATTTTTTTAACGTTTATTTTTGAGACAGAGAGAGACAGAGCATGAATGGGGGAGGGGCAGAGAGAGAGGGAGACACAGAATCTGAAGCAGGCTCCAGGCTCTGAGACATCAGCCCAGAGCCCGACGCGGGGCTTGAACTCATGGACTGCGAGACCGTGACCGGAGCTGAAGTCGGACGCTTAACCGACTGAGCCATCCAGGCGCCCCTACTTTCACGGTTTAAATTGTAACACATCAAGTTGGTATTTCCTGGTGTAATGTATGAGGTAAGTATCCAACTTACCTTTTTTTTCCCTCAATCACTGAACAGTTGTCTCAACCCCATTATAGAATAATTTGGTTTTTTTCCACTTGCTCTGAGAAACTATTAAGGTTCTTTTAAATACATTAAGCTCCAGGGGCGCCTGGGTGGCGCAGTCGGTTAAGCGTCCGACTTCAGCCAGGTCACGATCTCGCGGTCCGGGAGTTCGAGCCCCGCGTCGGGCTCTGGGCTGATGGCTCAGAGCCTGGAGCCTGTTTCGATTCTGTGTCTCCCTCTCTCTCTGCCCCTCCCCCGTTCATGCTCTGTCTCTCTCTGTCCCAAAAATAAGTAAACGTTGGAAAAAAAATTAAAAAAAAAAACATTAAGCTCCAAATATGCATTTAAAAATACAGTTCAAATCTTATGTACGTTGTGTTTTGGAATTCTAGATAAGAAGTATTATCCTTAATTATCTGCTGTCCTTTTAGAAACTTTTGCCTGTTCACCTTCGCAAAACTATGACTGATAAATGTTGCTATTGCTAACTGCCTGATTAGATTTCAATTAAGTGAAGATACGATGCTCTTACGGAGTTATAGTAAGGCTCGTATTTGTTCCCAAACTTGATTTTCTACATCCTTTTATTACAAAACATCTAACCATATGGTAAAGATGATAGCGGATGTTCATTTTTTTTAAAAAGGCAGTTTACGGAATTTTGAATAAAATGATTACCCAAGTTCTGCTGTTCTAGTGGTTTTAAAAATCCTGTCTTGTAAATGATCAGGAACACAGCTGAGGTCCAGGAAAGTAAGAAGAAGTATCCTGTGAAAAGCCAGGCTAGATGTCCTAATATTCATGTACTAACTCTCAAGCTCTTTAACAAATCTGCTGATTTATTCCACAAATTGAGGGCTTGCTTTCTAGCAGATGGGGGGGGGGGAGAGAAGGGAGAAGAGGCATCACGACAACTGACAGTTGAAAAGAAAGACCTAAAATCTTTACCAAGAAGTTTAAGTTCTTTCGTAGGGGTGAGGAATGTGGGTATTAGGAGTGTGGGTAACGCCAATGGCAATTTGGCTTTGGAGCAGATGGTTCTCACCTCAGATACTGAGTAAGTCACGGAGTCAAAGCTGGCACAAGGATTAAAGTTCAAAGTGACCCTGAACCATCAGGGAAAGTTACATTGTGATCATCACGTTCTGTTTAAGATAGGAAAGAGTGAAGTGTATTTTAGAATGATTCTTATAAAAGTGGTTAAAATAATACAACAGGTAGTTTTCCGACACGGGGCTTGAACTCATGAAACTGAGATCATGACCTGAGCCGAAATCAAGAGTCAGATGTTTAACCGGCTGAGCCGCCCAGGTGCCCCCCTCCTTTAAAGAAAATAAGTATCTCATTTTCTTAACCTGAATTCCATGGACTCCAAGGGTCCTATGAAGCCTCTTAAAACAGAGCCGTGACTTTGGTGAATACGTGTGCTTTTCTGGGGAGAGGGGCCATGGCTTTCATCAAGTTCTCAAAGGGTTCTATAATTAAAAAGGGTTAAGATGGCCGAGGTATCTGAAAAATTTATGTAGTCAGAGAATCCAGTGATTCCAGCCAAATGAAATGTTATGAATTTATAGCTATACTATGTTAAAAATTTATAACACTGTACTAAGTTATAAATTTATAATTGCACAGTTATAAATTGATGGGAGCAATAGACCCCATTACCTTTCAGGTACTTCATTATGTATTTTGCAAGTGCTACCTTATTTTATCTCGTATTATTAACGAGTGTTTTCTTTCCGTTTTGTAGTCCACAGTAGCACTGTTTGTAAATAGATTGGACTCCGTGGAATCTGTCCTACCTTATGAATACAATACGTAAGTTATAAGTATTATAATTATGTCTGATATAATTGATATAATTGTGGTTATATCACAATTATGATATTATTGTGTTAAAATGTGTTAAAAAGATTTTTTAACGTTTATTTTTGAGAGACAGGGAGAGACAGAGCATGAGAAGGAGAGGGGCAGAGAGGGAGGGAGACACAGAATCCAAAGCAGGTTCCAAGGCTCTGAGCTGTCAGCACAGAGCCCGATGCGGGGCTCGAACTCACGAACTGTGAGATCATGACCTGAGCAGAAGTCAGACACTTAACCGACTGAGCCATCTAGGCGCCCTAGAATGTGTTAAAAAGTTTTTAATGATAGTGAATGAAAGCCCTGGATATATTAAAGATTTATGGTGCTAATTTTGTAATAAAGGTAACAGGAATGAAATGATTAGAATATAGAGATTTCAATGTGAGACAAGTGTTTAAAAATTTAAGAAGTTGCCATATTTGATTTTTCTAAGAAAAGCAAATTATAAATTTACTACCTTTTGAAGTTACAAAAATCTTCACAGATTTGTAATGTATTTCTAAAACATAGGCTAGTTAGGTTTATCCTAAGGTACTTAATGAATGCACCTGCTTAGTTTAATAGCATAATCAAGGTTAAGATCAGTCATTTGAGAATAACAAAAAATGATGTACTTAAACATTTTTTTTAATGTTTATTTATTTTTGAGAGAGACGGACAGAGCACGAGCAGGGGAGGGGCAGAGAAAGAGGGAGACACAGGATCTGAAGCAGGCTCCAGGCTCTGAAATGTCAGCACACAGCCCGCCCGACCTGGGGCTCGAACTCACAAACTGTGGGATCGTGACCTGAGCCGAAGTCAGATGCTCAACCTACTGAGCCACCCATGCGCCCCACAAATGATGTACTTTTTAGAAAAATAATTGTAACTCCCTTTGATATTGCTTTATTTCCATTAATGAAACAGAGGTAAAATCAGGTCTAATTTTCATTAAAATACCAAGTTAAATGTTAAATGTTAGTATAAGCATTTTTTTTCTTTTTTTTTTTTTTAATTTTTTTTTTTCAACGTTTATTTATTTTTGGGACAGAGAGAGACAGAGCATGAACGGGGGAGGGGCAGAGAGAGAGGGAGACACAGAATCGGAAACAGGCTCCAGGCTCTGAGCCATCAGCCCAGGGCCCGACGCGGGGCTCGAACTCACGGACCGCGAGATCGTGACCTGGCTGAAGTCGGACGCTTAACCGACTGCGCCACCCAGGCGCCCCAGTATAAGCATTTAAAATATTACACAAACCCACCAACTGATTTTATCTTCTACCATTTTATATTCGATTTTGTATATTCACTTTACTTAAAGGTAGTTGTAATTCTTTTCATGTAGTAACCATTTGATCTGTGAGTGAATTTGTGGGCATGTATTTGAGGAGGGGTTTTGTTGTTTCAGTTTTCCTTTGATCAGAACCGATAATTGCAGTTTCTAGATGTCTCAGGTTAGAATTACTACACATTTTAAGCTATTGTTTGCTTATTTTTATGTAATTTGAAGTTTAGCCCTGAAAATACCATTCGTTTTTTTCTTTAAGATTGTGATTACCTACATTACAGAAGTCAAGAGCAGTAACATGAGCATTTTAAATAATGAATTCAGGGGCGCCTGGGTGGTTGAGTCGGTTAAGCGTCCGACTTCAGCCAGGTCACGATCTCGCGGTCCGTGAGTTCGAGCCCCGCGTCGGGCTCTGGGCTGATGGCTCGGAGCCTGGAGCCTGTTTCCGATTCTGTGTCTCCCTCTCTCTCTGCCCCTCCCCCGTTCATGCTCTGTCTCTCTCTGTCCCAAAAATAAATAAACGTTGAAAAAAAAATAATGAATTCATAGCTATAAAAGATTAAATAATTTAAAAAGGAATCTACAATGAAGTCTATAAATCATAATTCGACACCTCTGGGTCATGTTTTTAGAAGCATCTACCATTAACAGTGGAGACGCTAGACAGATTACAAAGATGGATTTCTTTGCTGATGTTTTTTTTTTTTTACCTTACCTGAGCTTCTCTTCTAGCTTTGACTTCTGTAAAGACTCTGAAAAGAGAAATCCTTCTGAAAATCTTGGACAAGTGCTATTTGGAGAACGAATATCATCATCTCCTTATAAGGTGATTCAACTGATCTTCTTATTAAATATTATTTCAAATTGAATCTTTTCCAAACTGGGTGCTTAAAATTGTAGCCAAGAGTCTTTGTTTTATTTATTTTTTTATTATCATTATTTTTTTTTAGTAATCTCTATACCCAAAGTGGGACTCAAACTTTACAACCCAAGATCAAGAGTTGTGGGCTCCTCTGACTGAGCCAGCCAGGCGCCCCGAAGAGTCTTTGTTTGAGATATTTTTCATTTTTTAATGTTTATTTATTTTTGAGAGAGAGAGACGGAGCGCAAGTGGGGGAGGGGCAGAGAGAGAGGGAGACACAGAATCTGAAGCAGGCTTCAGGCATGCTCTGAGCTGTCAGCACAGAGCCGATGCGGGGCTCGAACTCATGCACCATGAGATCATGACCTGAGCTGGAGTCAGACGCTTAACTGACTGGGCCACCCAGGCCGTCCCTAAAGAGTCTTTGTTTTATTTAAAAAAAAAAATTTTTTTTTTCAACGTTTATTTATTTTTGGGACAGAGAGAGACAGAGCATGAACGGGGGAGGGGCAGAGAGAGAGGGAGACACAGAATCGGAAACAGGCTCCAGGCTCCGAGCCATCAGCCCAGAGCCTGACGCGGGGCTCGAACTCACGGACCGCGAGATCGTGACCTGGCTGAGGTCGGACGCTTAACCGACTGCGCCACCCAGGCGCCCCAAGAGTCTTTGTTTTAAAAGGAGGTCGGGAAAAAGGAAAGGAGATAGAATGTGGTGTTGCCAGAAAAATGCATTTAATATGTGCTGTTCAAACTGTCTGAGGTTCCACGTAAAGGTTTTGTCTTTCAGGTTTTACTTTTGCTTTGTAAAGGAAAGAAGCTTAATTTATGGTTCCTGCATATTTTGGGTAGGGTGATATAAGCAGATGTAATTGGACTGTCGTTCTCTATTGATTTTGCCTTCAATATCTTAATAATATTGGGATAGAGTAAGGATCTTTTCATAAGCAGTTATGATTATGAAGGCATTAACTTTTTCCTTCCTTCTTTCCAAATTCATTGAAATATACTTGAAGTACAGTAAACTGTGTGTATTGAAAGTGTGTAGTTTGGCCAATTTTATTTTTCTTTAATTAATAAAGTTCATTTATTTATTTTGAGAGAGAGAGAAAGAAAGTGCATGTGTGAGTGGGGGAGGGAGAGAGAGAGAGGGAGAGAGAGAATCCCAAGCAGGCTCAATGCTGTCAGTGCAGAGCCTGATGCAGGGCTCAATCTCAGGAACCGTGAGATCATGACCTGAGCCGAAATCAAGAGCTGGACATTTAATCAACTGAGCCACCGAGGTGCCCCAATTGTAATATATGTAGACACTTGTGAAACCATCAGGCATTAGTTTCTTTTAAAACTTTTTAGTTTGAAATGATTGTAGATTCACAGGAAGCTACAAAAAAATCTTGAACAAGGAGGTCTTGGTACCTTTGCCCAGATTTGCCCAACGGTAACACCTTCCTGTTTTTAAAGTTTACTCATGTATTATTTCTGAGAGAGAGACAGAATGCAAGCGGGGGGAAGGACAAGGAGGGGAGGAAGTCACAGAATCCGAAGCAGGCTCCAGGCTCTGAGCTGTCAGCACAGAGCCCGATGAGGGGCTCCAACCCATGAACTGTGAGATCATGACCTGAGCTGAAGCCAGACACTTAACCGACTGAGCCACCCGGGCACCCCTCTTTTCAAGTCCTTTAATTTATTGCTTTGATTCCAGTGTAATTAATGTACGGTGTTACATTAATTTCACGTGTACAATATAGTGATTCAGCAATTTTATACATTACCCAGTGCTCATCGCGATAAATGGTTCTCCATACCCATCATCTGTTTCACCCATCCCCCCACACACCTCCAGTCCTCTCTGTTTCTACCATGTTATTGCAATTATGTTACACAAGTGGAATCATGCTGCCTGCAACCTTCTTGGGATCAGCTTTGTTTTCTGTCAGCATCATCCCCTTGAGATCCACGTGGGTCGTGTGCATTCACAGTAGTACTGCATGGTGTGGATATTCCGGTTTGACTATTTACCCCGTTGAAGGACACTCGGATTGTTGCTCTAGCGTCCGACTGTGATGAGTAAGACTGCTGTGAACATCTAGGTGGAGATTTTTTTTGTGTGCGGCTGGGTTTTCATTTTTCCGGGGTAAACATCCAAGAGTGTAACTGCCGGGTAATGTGAGAGTGGCGTGCTTAATTTTGCGAGAAACCGCCTTTCTCCAAAGTGGCCATACCATTTACGTTCCGACCAGCAAAGTAGGAGTGATGGCGTTTCTCTGCGTCTTTGCCAGCATTTGGTGTTGTCATGACAAAAATCGTTCTTGAAGTATAGTTGACATTTTTTACTTTAACCACTCCGATAGGTGAGTTTCGCCGTAGCTTTCATTTGCATTTTCCTAGCCCCTAATGATGTTGAACACCTTTTCATGTGGGCGTTTACTATCTGTATATGCTCTTCAGTGAGATGTCTCCTCTTTGACCCATTTTCTATTTGAATTGGTTGTTCCTTTACTCTGGAGTTTGCAGAATTCCTTATATATTCTGGGTGTGATTCCTTTGGTGCAACAGTAGTTCGCAAATTGTTTCTCCCAGTCTGCAGCCTGTGTTTTTATCATCTACTTTTAAAAAAGATTTTATTTTTAAGTAATCTCTACACCCAATGTGGGGCTTGAACTCACAACCCCAAGATGGAAAGTCAGATGCTGTACTGACTGAGCCAGCCAGGTGCCCCTTCTTTTCTTTTAAAGTCTGTCTATTTATTTATTTATTTATTTATTTATTTATTTAATGTTTATTTATTTTTGAGAGAGAGACAGAGTACAAGTGGGGGAGGGGCAGAGAGAGAGGGAGACACAGAATTCAAAGCAGGCTCCAGGCTCTCAGCTGTTAGCACAGAGCCCAACATGGGGCTCAAACCCATAAACTTTGAGATCATGATGTAAGCTGAAGTCAGACGCTCAGCCAACTGAGCCACCTTGGCACCCCGATTTATTTATATTTTAGAGAGAGGGTGCGAGCAAGAATGGGAGGGACAGAGGGAGGAACAAAGGGAAAGAGAGAGAGAGAGAGAGAGACAGAAAGAGAGAGAATCCCAAGCGGACTCTACACGTGGAGCCTGACTCGGGTTTCAATCTCATGAGTGTGCTGTCATGACCTGAGCCAAAATCAAGAGTTCACTCTTGACCAACTGAGCCACCTAGGTTCCCCTATTTGTTTATTTTTAAGTAATCTCTATACCCAACATGAGGCTTGAACTCATGACTGAGATCAAGTGTTGCATACTCTTCCAACTGAGCCAGCCAGGCACCCTTATGTTTTCATCTAAAAAATTTTTTAAATTATTTTTTTAGAGTGATTGAGTGAGCAGGAGGGGGACAGAGGGAGGGGGAGACACAGAATCCGAAGCAAGTTCCAGGCTCTGAGCTGTCAGCACAGAGCCCGACGCAGGGCTTGAACTCACGAACCGTGATATCATGACCTGAGCTGAACTCCGATGCTTAACCGACTGAGCCCTCAGGCACTCCTCACCTTCTTAACAGAGTCTTTCACAGAGCAAACTTTGTTAACTTTTTATGAGGTCCAGTAGTCAAGTTTTCTTTTTATGGGTTGTTTTTGGTGTCAGGTCGAAGGAGATGTGATACAGCCTTTAGGTCTTGAAGATTTTCTTTTACGTTTTCTTCTAAAAGTTTCATAATTACTTTATATATTTAAGTCTGTTCTATTTGAGTTATTTTGTATGAGGTATGAGGTTGGGTTCAAATTCCTTCTCCTTCTCCTTCTCCTTCTCCTTCTCCTTCTCCTTCTTCTCCTTCTCCTTCTTCTCTTTCTCCTTCTCCTTCTTCTTCCTCCTGTGCCTGTAGATGTCCAATTGCTTCAGCACCTGCTGTTGAAAAGACTATCCTTCCTCCACTGAATTGCTTTTGGACCTTTGTCAAAATAAAATCACATGGACATAGTTATGTAGATCTATTTCTGGGCTCTTTGCTGATCTCTTCCTTTGGTCTCTGTGTCAGGCATTAGCTTTTTGACAATTAAAGTTGCCCAACATACACTTGTGGCATACCACTGTCCTCATGGAAAAGTGAACTTTTTCAAGAAATGGTGTCCCTTGGAATGAAGAAACAAACATGACCGTATTAAAAAGAAAGAAAGAACCCCGAGAGTGTTCTCCGCAGCTGCCAGTAAGGAACTTTGGGATTAATCTTCGTGTACTTCCAGGATATGAGGTGCTAAATATAACACTTTTCATAGTTTCTTCTTGTTCCTGATTTCCTGATTAATAACATTGGCACTTTACCCTGAGAATCCCTCATAGCTAGACTTTGTAAACAAGAGGCTTCATATGAAAAATATCAGATATTTTGTTATCACTTTTTTGGGAACAGCTCCACTGAGAGTTTCACATACCAAATAATTCACCCATTTCAAGTGTCCAGTTTTTTGTTAAGTAAGCTCTACACCCCAGGTGAGGCTTGAACTCATGGCTCTGAGATGAAGAGTTGCATGTTCTGTTGACTGAGCCAGCCAGGCACCCCTTAAAGTGTCCACTTCAATGTTTTTAGTATATTGAGAGAGTTGTGTGACCATGATTACAATCACTTCTGTTACCACTTTTAAGTGAAGGGTTCTATATGAGAGTTATTGAAGAAGGCAAATTGGTCTTAGTCGTGAAAGCATATTGTGTGTGTGTGTGTGTGTGTGGTGTAATCATTTCAGGTATAAATCGAAAGTTAAAGGAGATAGTGTTGAGGATGATGGCACACTGAAGTCTCTGAAGGAAAGGTTTATCTGTAAGATAAATTGCCTATTTTGCGACCCCTGATTTATAAAACTTAGCCAAATCTTTTAATCTTTTAATTCTTTCTCAACAGTTTCCTTTTAACAGGACAGGAACATGCATAAAAGTTTGTGTAAAATCCTATGATACAGCAAATGATGACCAGGAGAAAAAGCTGGCCTTTTTGAGGAAAGGAATACGACTGAATTATCAGCATCACTGGTAGGTTTGGCAAATGAGAGGACATGATTTAATTTTTCAAGTCCTTTCGAAGTAGTTTTTTTAAAAAAAGGAAGTAGGTTTTTAAAGATTTTTTTAAGTTTATTTTGAGAGACACAGGGACAGCACGAGAAGGGGGGTGCAGAGAGAGAGAGGGAGAGAGAGAATCCCAAGCAGCTTCTACACCATGAGCACAGAGCCGACGCAGGGCTTGAGCCCACGTGAGATCATGACTTGAGCTGAAACAAAGAGTTGGACGCCTGGGTGACTGAGCCACACCCAGGTGTCCCTAAAAAAAAGTAGTTTTTTTAAATTTTTAAAAAATGTTTATTTATTTTTGAAGGAGAGAGAGACAGAGTGTGAGTGGGGGAGGGGCAGAGAGAGAGGGAGACACAGAATCCGAAGCAGGCTCCAGGCTCCGAGCTGTCAGCACAGAGCCCGACGCGGGGCTCAAACACACAAACCGCGAGATCATGACCTGCGCCGAAGTCGGACGCTTAACTGACTGAGCCACCGAGGTGCCCCAAAAGTAGTTTTAATAGGTCCTTGAAATTATATGCTATTTTTTGTAACTTTGATTAAAAACTTGAACTTAAATCCATGCAAGATGATGTTGGTTTTGCTTGGTGTGAAACGCTTGTCAAAACTTTTATTTTTAAAATATTTGTATTTAGGATTATTGACAATATGCCTGTAATATGGTGCCATAATACAGGGGATGGAACAAAGTGCTGCACACCAGGATTTCCGATAGGATGTTTTATTACCAAAAGTGGCGAATCGAAACATGCCTGCCCTATCCATGTAAGTGTTGAGAACTTACTTAGAAATATAAGAATACTGCTTCACTTAATAATTTGCTTTCTAGGATAGTCACTTAGCAAACATTAATGGGACACCTACCATCTTCTAGGTTTTGGGAATACAAACTCAAGTAGACGTGGTCTTTGTCCTCTAGAAGTTCACAGTCCTGACTAAGGAGATAGACCTGTAGACAGATCAATACAACAGAATGTTCTATGATAGGAGACTGAGAGACAAGGAGGATATAATGGAGGGAGTGAAAATGTATTTGTGAAATAAATGGGTGGGTGAGCATTTCTAGGAGGGAAATCAGTGTGATCAAGAACTTGGAAGTCTGGGGGCACCTGGGTGGTTCAGTTGGTTGAGCATCTGACTTCAGCTCAGGCCACGATCTCTCGGTTTGTGGGTTCGAGCCCTGCGTCGGGCTCTGTGCTGACAGCTCAGAGCCTGGAGCCTGCTTCAGATTCTGTGTCTCCCTCTTTCTGCTCCTCTCCTGCTTGTACTCTGTCCCTCTCTCTCTCTCAAAAATAAATAAACATTAAAAAAAATAAAAAAAAAATAACTTGGAAGTCTGAAACTGGATGCTATGATTGGGGGACTGTGAGTAGTTGAGCATGTCTGTGGCATAAGGTTTAGGGTTTGGGAGGTGCAGCTAGAGATGATGCTGAAAAGGTGGCTGGGCAGAAGCTGGGTCGTGGAGGGAGGCCCTGTGTGCGATATTACTTCCTACAGTGCCTGATTTAATCCTTAGAACAGCCCTGTTGCTAGGACCCTACTGCTGCCATTTTATAGGTGATGAAACTCAGTCTCTGAGAGGTTAAGTGACATGACTAGAGGCATACAGCTTGTTAAGTGCAGAAGTAGGAATCCAGCTCAGAGCTTTTTAGCTTGGAAGTTCCGATCTCACGGTCGGCCTTGTGGCTCTCCAGCAGTCTCCACTGGGCCCCAGGGTAACAGGAGTGTCTTCAGACTGCTGTGGAGACTAATGAAGAGGCTTGAATGGCCGCAAAATAGCTCAGCCAGGACAGCACTGTTTTAATTTGTTTTACGTGTCAAGACTCGATGTGGGCCAGCGATGGGGACAAAGGGGAAGAGAGAAGGAAGAATATAGGATGACTGCCCAGTTTCTTGCTTGGTTGTCTAACTGATGGTACTCTTTTTTTTTTTTTTTTTTTTAATTTTCTAAAATTTACACCCAAATTAGTTAGCATATAGTGCAACAATGATTTCAAGAGTACATTCCTTAATGCCCCTTATCCATTTAGCTCATCCCCCCTCCCACAATCCCTCCAGTAACCCTCAGTTTGTTCTCCATATTTAAGAGTCTCTTCTGTTTTGTCCCTTCCCTTTTTTTATATTATGTTTGCTTCCCTTCCCTTATGTTCATCTTTTTTGTCTCTTAAAGTCTTCATCTGAGTGAAGTCATATGATATTTGTCTTTCTCTGACTGACTAATGTCACTTAGCATAATACCCTCCAGTTCCATCCACGTAGTTGCAAATGGCAAGATTTCATTCTTTTCGCTTGCCGAGTAATACTCCATTGTGTATATATACCGTATCTTCTTTATCCATTCATCCATCGGTGGACATTTGGGCTCTTTCCATACTTTGGCTATTGTTGACAGTGCTGCCATAAACATGGGGGTGCATGTGTCCCTTCGAAACAGCACACCTGTATCCTGTGGATAAATGCCTAGTAGTGCAATGGCTGGGTCGTTGGGTAGTTCTATTTTTAGTTTTTTGAGGAACATCCATCCTGTTTTCCAGAGTGGCCGCACCAGCTTGCATTCCCACCAACAATGCAAAAGAGATCCTCTTTCTCCGAATCCTCGCCAACATCTGTTGTTGGCCTGAGTTGTGAATGTTAGACATTCTGACAGATGGGAGATGGTATCTCATTGTGGTTTTAATTTGTATTTCCCTGATGATGAGTGATGTTGAGCACTTTGTCATGTGTCGGTTGGCCATCTGGATGTCTTCTTTGGAGAAGTGTCTATTCATGTCTTTTGCCCATCTCTTCACTGGATTATTTGTTCTTTGGGTGTTGAGTTTGCTAAGTTCTTTATAGATTTTGGATATTAGCCCTTTATCTGATATGTCATTTGCAAATATTTTCTCCCACTCTGTCTGTTGCCTTTTAGTTTTGCTGATTGTTTCCTTCGCTGTGCAGAAGATTTTTATTTTGATGAGGTCCCAGTAGTTCATTTTTGCTTTTGTTTCCCTCATCTCCAGAGACATGTTGAGGAAGAAGTTGCTGCGGCCAAGATCAAAGAGGTTTTTGTCTGCTTTCTCCTTGAGGATTTTGGTGGCTTCCTGTCTTACGTTTAGGTCTTTCATCCATTTTGAGCTTATTTTTGTGTTTGGTGTAAGAAAGTGGTCCAGGTTCATTCTTGTGCATGTCGCTGTCCAGTTTTCCCAGCACCACTTGCTGAAGAGACTGTCTTTATTCCATTGGATATTCTTTCCTGCCTTGTCAAAGATTAGATGGCCATACGTTTGTGGGTCCATTTCTGGGTTCTCTATTCTGTTCCATTGATTTGAGTGTCTGTTCTTGTGCCAATACCATACTGTCTTGATGATTACAGCTTTGTAGTATAGCTTGAAGTCTGGGATTGTGATGCCTCCTGCTTTGGTTTTCTTTTTCAAGATCTCTTTGGCTATTTGGGGTCTTTTCTGGTTCCATACACATGTTAGGATTATTTGTTCTAGCTCTGTGAAGCATGCTGGTGTTACTTTGATAGGGATTGCATTGAATATGTAGACTGCTTTGGGTAGTATTGACATTGCAACAATATTTGTTCTTCCTATCCAGGAGCATGGAATCTTTTTCCATTTTTTTTTTTTTTTTGTGTGTGTGTCTTCTTCTATTTCTTTCATAAGCTTTCTATAGTTTTGAGTGTGTAGATTTTTCACCTCTTTGGTTAGATTTATTCCTAGGTATTTTATGGTTTTTTGTGCAACTGTAAATGGGATCGATTCCTTGATTTCTCTGTCACTTCATTGTTGGTGTATAGGAATGCAATCGATTTCTGTGCATTGATTTTATATCCTGCCACTTTGCTGAATTCATGGATCAATTCTAGCAGGTTTTTGGTGGAATCTTTTGGATTTTCCATATAGAGTATCATGTCATCTGCGAAGAGTGAAAGTTTGACCTCCTCCTGGCCGATTTGGATGCCTTTTATTTCTTTGTGTTGTCTGATTGCAGAGGCTAAGACTTCCAATACTATGTTGAATCCCTGTCTTGTTCCTGACCTTGGGGGGAAAGCTCTCAGTTTTTTCCCCGTTGAGGATGATATTAGCATTGGGTTGTTCATATATGGCTTTTATGATCTCGAGGTATGCTCCTTCTATGCCTACTTTCTTGAGGATTTTAAAAAAAAATTTTTTTTAACATTTATTTATTTTTGAGACAGAGAGAGACGGAGCATGAACAGGGGAGGGTCAGAGAGAGGGAGACACAGAATCTGAAACAGGCTGTCAGCACAGAGCCCAACGCGGGACTCGAACTCACGGACCGCGAGATCACGACCTGAGCCGAAGTCGGACGCTTAACCGACTGAGCCACCCAGGCGCCCCTTGAGGGTTTTTATCAAGAAAGGATGCTGTATTTTGTTAAATGCTTTCTCTGCATCTATTGAGAGGATCATATGGTTCTTGTCCTTTCTTTTATCGATGTGATGAATCACGTTAATTGTTTTGCGGATATTGAACCAGCCCTGCATCCCAGGTATAAATCCTGCTTGGTTGTGGTGAATAATTTTTTTAATGTATTGTTGGATCCAGTTGGCTCATATCTTGTTGAGGATTTTTGCATCCATATTCATCAGGGAAATTGGTCTATAGTTCTTTTTAGTGGGGTCTCTGTCTGGTTTTGGAATCAAGGTAATGCTGGCTTCATAGAAAGAGTTTGGGAGTTTTCTATTTTTTGGAACATTTCTATTTTTTGGAACAGTTTTAAGAGAATAGGTGTTAACTCTTCCTTAAATGTTTGATAGAATTCCCCTGGAAAGCTATCTGGCCCTGGACTCTTGTTTTTTGGCAGATTTTTGATTACTAATTCAGTTTCTTTACTGGTTATGGGTCTGTTCAAATTTTCTATTTCTTCCTGTTTCAGTGTTGGTAGTGTCTATGTTTCTAGGAATTTGTCCATTTCTTCCAGATTACCCATTTTATTGGCATATAATTGCTCATAATATTCTCTTATTATTGTTTTTATTTCTGCTGTGTTGGTTATGATCGCTCCTCTTTCATTCTTGATTTTATTTATTTGGGTCCTTTCCTTTTTCTTTTTGATCAAACTGGCTAGTGGTTTATCAATTTTGTTCATTCTGTCAAAGAACCAGCTTCCGGTTTCATTAATCTGTTCTACTGTGTTTTTGGTTTCGATAGCATTAATTTCTGCTCTAATCTTTATACTTCCTGTCTTCTGCTGGTTTGGGGTTTTATTTGCTGTTCTTTTTTCCAGCTTCTTAAGACATAAGGTTAGGTTGTGTATCTGAGATCTTTCTTCCTTCTTTAGGAAGGCCTGGATTGCTATATACTTTCCTCTTATGACTGCCTTTGCTGCATCCCAGAGGTTTTGGGTTGTGGTGTTATCATTTTCATTGACTTCCATATACTTTTTAATTTCCTCTTTAACTGCTTGGTTAGCCCATTCATTCTTTAGTAGGATGTTCTTCAGTCTCCAAGTATTTGTTACCTTTCCAACTTTTTTCTTGTGGTTGATTTCGAGTTTCATGGCGTTGTGGTCTGAAAATAGGCACGGTATGATCTCGATCTTTTTGTGCTTACTTAGGGCTGATTTGGGTCCCAGTATATGGTCTATTCTGGAGAACGTTCCATGTGCACTGGAGAAGAATGTATATTCTGCTGCTTTAGGATGAAATGTTCTGAATATATTTGTTAAGTCGATCTGGTCCAGTGTGTCATTCCAAGCCATTGTTTCCTTGTTGATTTTCTGATTAGATGATCTGTCCATTGCTGTGAGTGGGGTGT